TATATATATATTACGAGAAAGAGAAAGAGAGAAAAAAAAATAAATCCGGGGGTTGTTGAGTCGTACGTTAATATTTCAACGATATATCTAAATATAATAATTATATTACGAAACATAATATATTATGTATGTGCGCCGTGTGTGTGTATGTATATATATAGATTTTTTTTTCTCTCTCTTTCTATCTTTCAATTTTCAATTGAACCACACATGATTTATTTATTGATATTAATCTAATTCTAATTCGTTTGTCGTTACAATCGTTACGACGTTATTTGGAAATAACCAAAAGAAAATGTAATTTTTCCCATATTACGTGTGTGGGTAATGGTTTTTTCTTTTGGTTCATATAAAATAGCACAAAATTGCACACACTCTCTCTCGGTTGGTCAATTTTCGATATAAATTAAATACAAATATACCTATGTGTTTTATGCATGTACGCGTTTGTATGCGTATATGCGTCGTATGTGCGTGTGTGTGTGTGTGTGTGTGTGTGTCTAATACGTGAGTGTATTTTTCTCTCTCTCTCTTTCTTTCGAAACCGTGTAGGAATAAAATGCGGAAAAATTTCAAGAACAATAAACAACATAAAGGTGACACAAGGCGCGATGAGTTTTTAACATTTTCTCTTTTTTTTTTTTTTTTTCTTTTTCTTTTTTCTTCAGGCTTTTTTTTTCTTTCTTTTTTTAACCAAGAGATGATGATGAAGAAGGAAACTTACGTTCGTCGAGCCTTCACCGCCCAATCCATATTTCGTTGCACAACGTATTCCACAAACGTGACACAACGATGCCTCTCGTGTTGCTACTTTTATCCTTCCTTCTCTTTTTATTATTATTACTGTTATTATTATTATTACTATTATTATTATTATTATTATTATTATTATTATTATTATTATTTTTTCCCGTCGTAGTGCTCTTCGTCTTCTTTATTAATATTATTAATATTATTAATTTTATTTTTTCTTTTTCTTTTTCTTCCTCTTCTTTTTGAAATAAGAAAACGTTAAAAGAAAAGAAACGAAAAATATTGCACACTGTTGGAAACACCGTAAGCACACCACTGTTCCTTGCGTTAAAATTCTATCTACTATATATCCTCATTTATTTATTTATTTATTTATTTATTTATTATTATTATTATTATTATTATTATTATTATTATTAATTATCCACGAGAAAATCCGTCTTCTTCTTCGTCCTCTTCTTCTTCTAATTACACGTATAGGTACAATATACATATACATACGATGTATATTTTATGTTTTTTTTTCTTTTTATGATTTTTTCTTTTTTTTTCTTCACTACCAGTTAACTAACGCGTGAGTTTCAAAACAAATACATCACCGTTTTTGTTAATTTTTTTTTTTTTTTAAATATTTTTTATATATTTCTTTTGAAATTGGAGGTAGCAATGGGGTGATACGTGTTACGATAGTTTAGAAGATTGGAGAATAAATCGAGATGAGAACTTAGAGAGTAAAAGAAAAAAAAAAAAGTCGGAGCACGAGTTTAAGAACGAAAGAAAGAACAACGGCGGAACGAGAGACCCAAACGGAAGAACAAACGATCGCTGCACTGACCAGGAGGAAACTGACGGCGTGTGGCGTGCGCACTTACTCCGATGCGCATCGAGCGCCGCCCCGTCACGAACGGCAAACACGAATGCTTCCGAACTCAACCGAATATAATTGTCAGTGGTGGGGGTTGCATAAAGCACAGTACGCGGTACAGTCCCGTACCGAGCACTTCGTATGCCCTTTTCCATGATATTAATGAAACCCTATATATATATACACATTGGCGTAAGGGGAGATATTTCTTTTTTTCTTTTTTGTTTTTATATAATACTTAATTACATGATATAATTGATGATTATTATTATTATTATTATTTGTATGGTTAATAAAAATAATTAATAAATTTGAAAAGTTATTTTTTTTGTCTTATCGCAAAGAAAAGAAATTATTTTTAAAGATATAATATAATGTAGATTGAAATAAATTATCTGTATTTGTTTTTTGTTGATACACTTATATGGATATACGATACTTTTTTAATAACAAATGTTGATGAAATTGTTGAAGATTGTAAAGAGTATGTTACGCCAATGTAATCCGACGTTATCGTCGGCTTTGCGCTGCCGAAATATTTATTCGAGGGGACTGTACGATGATGGAGAAAGATAGATTGATATACGAGAAAGTGAGAGAAAGAGAGAGAGGGAAATCAGAAAGGGATTCGAGGGTTCTCCCTTGGTTGCAGTCGACGTTTCACGTAGAGAGAGAGAGAGAGAGAGAGAGAGAGAGAGAGAGAGAGAGAGAGAGAGAGAGAGAGAGAGAGAGAGAGAGAGAGAGAGAGANAGAGAGAGAGAGAGAGAGAGAGAGAGAATAAGAGAGACCCCCTCCCAAATTCAAGCGGTCGGTCGTCGAATTAAGCCTGTAAAAATGTACGTGCCTGTACATAGTATCGATATACATTACATATATATATGTATATATGTAGAAAAAGAGAGATAGATTGATAGATGAAGAGAGAGAGAGAGAGAGAGAGAGAGAGAGAGAGAGGAAGAATGAAACGTTTTATGCGCCATCGAAAAATTGTCCCCAGCTTTTTAACTGAGAATCGATCGATGAACTTCGTTTGTTCGTCTATTAAATTCTCTGCATCGTTTCGACCTTGGAAACACGTGGAAATAAAAAAACTGAAAGAGAGAGAGAGAAAATGTTAGTTAATGGAAAAAAGAAATAAATAAAACTAAATTGAAGTGCAGCGAACGCCAATATTCTCTTTTTTTATTGTTCATTGTTCCCGGTTTCTTTCTTTTTTTTTTATGGGTATCACGATGAGAAGATCGATAGAACGAAGAAGAGATTCATTTGGATAAAAGAGAATGAGTTAGAGAGAGAAAAAGAGTACGGAGAAACCCCATAGCCTCCTCCCTTGGATCTGATATTGGAGGATACAGGGTGTAGTGGGGTTCTTTCGAGGATCCCTCCCAGTACCAGCTGTTCTTTCGTTGAGTCAGCCTGCCAAAAGTATGGCTGAATTTGCACAGCCATTTTATATAACTCTCTCGATAACGTATTACAAATATTCTCCGTCTTTTGACATTTTTTTTTAAAATCGATGATTTATATTTAAGAAATAAATATTTCACAACAATCGCGACGGATATAGAAAGAAAAAATAATAATAATTACACGTGTAAAACATTTTATTATATCTCTCTCTCTCTCTCTCTCTCGAAAAAAAAATGTATATTTTTGTTATATTATGTAACACGATTGAAGTAAAGAAAAAAGAAAAGAAAGGAAAGAAAAAGAAAAAAAAAAAAAAGAAAAAAACCATAATATATACACGATAGTTCGATAAATGTTAAAAGATTATAAAACAATCCCCACTGTTATTTCGAAAATGAATTATATACCGAGAGAATGTTTCAAGGCTGAAAGAACTTCGAGATGATATTTTGTAGTGTTTTTATTTAGTTGTTCAATGTAACTTCGGAATAAGCCAGGTAAAAGGAAATCAGAGAGTGTCTCGATGATGATGATGATGATGATGACGACGACGAAACGAAACGAAACGAAACGAAATGACAAATGTCTATCTGTGATGGTAGAGATCGGTAAAAGGGAAAGGTGAAAGGACTGTTGAAACATGACGATATGTCGTTTGAGAGAAGGGTTCAAGCAGATTCTAGCTAAAACTTTAAATATGTTTGTCATTTAAATACTCAATCATAGGGGCACACGAGTAATACACACGCGTGAAACGTACAAAATGCATAAATGTACTTATATGCAGTTAAAAACATGAGGAGCATGATGCATGCGAACAAACACGAGTGTAGAATAAATTAATAAGGTTTGTTCCAATTGTAACTACTAATCATCGAACTTTGAATAAGTTACGAGAGATAGTATGAATTTTGTGGAGAATGAAAGACAATTCTCTCAGTAGCACAAAGCAAGATATAAAGTTGAGAGAGAGAGAGGGAGAGAGAGAGAGAGAGAGAGAATGATGCAGAATATATCAAGGACCGTCTCGTCTGTTTGGAACGGAGGACTTGAGAGCAGGTATTTAACCTCGGTGGCAGCTCGTCGGACGTCGACAAAGAGAGGGGTGATGCCAGGCCCACCTGAATCCCTGACCTGAGATTCGAAGTGGATCTCTGATGAAAGAGAGAGAGAGAGAGAGAGAGAGAGAGAGAGAGAGAGAGAGAGAGAGAATATTTTCGCACCGGCTCTCTATCTGGCCTTTCGTCTACCTGCCCGCATGCTTTTCCATAATGTGTCTGGGACCGAACAATGGCTAACAACATATGAACCTTTAAAATTCAATGTGAATATATATAGGTATATACGTATGCAGATTTGTTGTGTATGTAAATCGTTAAAAAAAAATGGTTAATATATTCGTATATTATATATATTTATGTTGATAATTATTTTGATATACGATGTTCTGTATATATTTGTTTGTGTATGTGTATGTGTGTGTGTGTGTGTGTGTGTGTAGGTTTATATATTAATGTTTAATAATATGTTAAATATTAAAGATAATCTAAATGTTAGATAAAATGTTAGTTTTCGCAGAGTTATGCATTAAGTTTTCTTAAAATTTGTAAGAAGAATCCAACAGAGAAGCAACCGCGGAATTTCGAGGCAAACGCAAACCCCCGGAACGAAGAAACTCTCTCGTCGATGTAGAAAAGAGAAAGAGAATATGAAAGAAGGAAGAACGGAAGAAGGAGTTGAAGTGAAAGAAGGATAAGGATAAAGAGAAAGATGAGGATGATGATGATGATGATGAAGAAGAAGAAGAAGAAGAAGAAGAAAAAGTAAAAGAAGAAGGAAGGTCATCCTCGAAGCGTGTTGCTATGTCGAGCAAGAGTATTGTATGCAGATCATACTATTCATTGTATATGCAATTAGAAATAGGAGAATCAGTGAATTATCAATGGAAACGTTTCATATAATTTATCATCGATAATATTTTATTTTTTTCCAATAATAATGATAATTATTTGGAAGAAGTTTTTAATGTGTACGCATAGATAAATAAAATATTCTAATCTATTGTTATTATTTTCGAAAAGAAATATTATAACAATTCGAGATATTATTATTATTATTATTATTATCAACAATATTAATATTATATTTTGTAATTATTTCAAAAGTTAAGATACTTACACATACTATAATATTATTATTATTACTATAAAAAAATTTAAAAAAAAAAAAAAAATACAGTAGCAAATCCAGCTGCCGGTGTTATGGATGATCACGAACCGTTATAAGAACCGATAGAAATTCATTAGATTTCACAAAAATAACCTTCTTCCTTCCCCACTTCTCGAGTTTATTTTCAAAAACTAATGTAAGTAAGTACCGTTTCTTTTTATCGATAGAAAAAGAAGAAAAAGAAAAAAGGAAAAGGAAGAAAAAGAAGAAAGAATTGTTTATCAAAGTAGAGGCTGCATCGATTCGATTCATCGGAGGAAAAGGAAGAAGGACACGCGAGGAATGACGACGAGTCTTTGTGCTCAGGTTCACTCCACCTCCTCCTCCTCCTCTTACTCCTCTCCACCACTTTTTCAAGAATACACACACATATATATATATATATATATATATATATATATATATATATTTGTTGGTGAGGAAGTAAGAGGAAGAAGGATAGAGAGAAGGAAGGTAAGTTCTCCAACAAGATAGAAAAAGAGAAAAAGAGAGAGAGAGAGAGAGAGAGATAGAAAGGTAGAGGAGTTGGAGGAGTTAGAGGAGGAGTAGGGGAGAAGGGGGGGAAGGAGGAGGATGCTGGGGATGTGAAGTGAATGTCAGCTCGAAGGTCGGCTTTTGTCAGA